GTAAGTCAGTCAGTCAGTAAGTAGGTAAGTAAGTAAGTAAGTAAGTAAGTAAGTAATTCAATAAATACTGTCATTATTAATTGTACACCATGTCACAATTATTATTTTATATAAACAATTTTCATGAATAAATGTTAATAGTTTGCCAGTGACTGATGTCATCTCTTATTGTTCAAACGAAAACAAGATAAACATCAATTTGGGAAAAAGGAAATTATTTTAGACATAAACAAATGAAAATATGCTTGATTTTTCTAAAAATGTTATCATTTTCTTTGATAAATGACAATGGTTTGACGCATTTGGTTTACTCAGTGCTACTTACTTACTTACTTTACTTAAACACCTGTTACCGCCATTTGAGCATAGGCCGCTGACCAGTTGTTGTTGACAGATTTTTTCTGGTGAGTTATTTTTCTGCGGGATAGGGTTAGTCACTAACCTCTTGCCTGACCCTCTTCCATTATCCTGGCTTGGAACAGGCAGTAACCCCAGAGGGACTCCAGGTGGAGTTATATAGGTAAATTCTATATTGTATCGCTTCAAAGTTTATTAGATAATCAGTATTCGGATGAATCAATATACAAAACAATCAGTAAGCTTAATTAAATATATACATGGTACATGTTACGCTCGTCACTAAGTATGCTTGAGGCTATTACAAGTTTACCTTAGTCGATAAACGCGAACGAGACAATGAACCAGCGTCCAAATAGACTACCTTGAATCCCCAAATAGAGTAAAAACACTTTGTAAGCGTAGAAAGTATATTCTACAAACACCCACCAATCATAGTACAATCAAGCATACAACTCTCGTTTATTTATACATCAAAGAAACGTCTTTGGGACAGTTAAGAAAATAGCACACTAAAATACACAGCAACCAATCACAGCCATGGATTTTCCTGGTGTGAATTGAAATCTCAAGGTCAACTGATCAACCCATGCTGGCAAACGTGAAATCCAAAATAAGGCATTTATCAAGCGATTTTTAGGGGATCTAACATCCCCAACAGTACTGTTATTCTATTGATTTGAGGCGATCAATGTCAATCCCTGTAAAACAAATGATCAACAGTTCAATCAAGAGCAAATAAAAATATCTCGTCAATGATTTGTGAAGTCTGCTGATGATTCAAGTTATACAAAATGGATTTTTGTGCAAAAATCTTTATTATTTGCCAAACTACATTTTGAATAAAGCATATTATTATTTCAAATGTGTAAAACAAGTTATTTTTCAAATCTATTGAAAATTGAACGCACACATTTAACTATCATTGTTCAAAATGGTTTGAATTATTTGTTCTAGTTAGCGTTTTTTTTGGCAAGTTAGTTTTTAGTTGGGATGGGGGCGCCAACCCCATTTCCAACCCCTCCTCATTTATTCGGACTTGGGACCGACAGTAGCCCTGAAGCGATTACAGACGGAATTCAAAATGCAAATAAATAAATGTATTGTTTTGAAAATGTGTGGGCTCACTAGTTCCATGGCGGTCAGTATTCGGTCGGTACCCACTAAACTTCGTATACTGCTTGTCCTGATAACCGTTACTAGATAACACTGAACGGTGTAGGAATCAGAAGATGAATGCGAAGCATTGAACACATTTATTATCACACTGCACAGATCACAAAACCACAGGCATACAAATTGAAGAGGAGAAAATGATATGAAAGTGCCGAATAGCAAGAGAGCGAGTCAGCTAGTGAACGAATAAAACATCAAGTTTACATATGAGTTAGTTGTCGAATTATTTAAACAACTGACATGAAAGCCAGGAGAATGAATATGCACGAAAGGCGGTAAGCAATCAATGATCAATCATACCTGCTCATACAAGCACAATAATAAGAATAAGAAAAGCGCACTGCTACATATAAGCTATTGGTATACAACTGACAATGTCTGTTAAATAAGTTAATCGAAAAACCTTACCCAAATTAGACGCAACACAAACTCAAATATATGTGACGTACTTCAATAAATCTCTCTTCAGCAAACAAAGATACCAGACAGTACCTGTGTTTGCAAGGGAAAATGTACTAATTGGGACCAAATGGGTGATAGGGTTGAAAAATAAACCCTACGACGATAGACTCCAGTTCTTGGGATTATTTCCACTGAGCTACACGAGAATCCGAGGCGATCTGATTATGGCGTACACCATATTAAACACGCCAAACCATCCCAATGTGAGTATCTTACCGATGCATCACCACCACTCCTCTCGAGGCAATCCTCGAAAGAGCGAATACTCAGATTCGTGCACGTTTTTTCTCATTGTGAGTAGTCGCAACTTGAAATGCTCTCCTAGCCGAGGTAACCACAGCCCCCTCAGTGGACTGCTTTAAGAAGAGACTTGATAATCACGTACTCACACACGGACTGTCATCTCCCTCTTGGACAACATGTCCATGATGCATATCTTCAGACCTGCTAGTTGTTATCATCGCCATCTCCTCAGATCACTCAATTAATCTATCTCGCCTTATTATCTCTGTTTCCTCTCCCTTGCTTACACTTCAGTCCTCTCTCACAATCTTCACTACCAATGAACAAACAAGATTCATCTATATATTACTCAGTTCTGAAATTTTATTCATACTATCATTACGATTTTATCCTTATTATCCTTATTACTCTCCACATTGCAACTCACTGATCTCCGGTCTGGTAATGTGACCCGCTGCTAGTATCCAGAAACCCTACTGCTCTGAAACAAACGTTTTCATTTAAGCCCCAAGACATACAAACTCACAACCAACTGCCAACTGACTAGAATTAGACAGTCGAGTTACTAGACTTCCATCCATTAGACATTACCGAACACCTGGAACAAGAATCGAGCGCGAAGAAATCAAATTGGTTTACACTAGCTCGTGGAAAAGATATTGGAAACTGGAATTAATTACCTTAGCAATAACTCACCAATCACAATCAATAAAACAATTAGGCATATCGCATCAATGTTTTACAATGTTTTTTCGGTAATTCAACTTGTAAAAAAATGAATTTTTTTTACACAATTCTTCATTATTTTGAATAAAACATATCAACATTCCAAAAAAATGAATAAAAACAAGTTATTTTTCAAATCCGTTGAACATTGAACACACACAGACACACACACACATGCATGTTGAACATTGAACACTGAATAGTTATTGATCAAAATATAGAAGAGGTGAACATTATTTTCTCTTTTCCGTAGCCAGCCAAATATGCGTAATTTATGAACAAACAAATAAACAGAATATTTCCAGTGCTAAATTCCCGCGTAACAAATGGGTTTTTTATTTTATCGAGAAGTTTTTCAACATTTATTTACCTGGATATTAATAATAAGGTATGATAATAATAATAATAGTAGTTGTAGCAGTAGTATTTTGATTTACAGAATAGATAAACAATAACAAAGGTCAAATCTGTCAGTTCACGAAATCAGAATGAATAGGCAACTTATAAAATCAATGTTTATATGTCTTGTTTCAACTTCCACTCACTTCTCTCACTGATTCATCAGCATTTTGAACAAAAATAATCAAAAACTGATCCCTAATTTTTTTCTAGCATATTAACCAATCAAATTACAGCGAATTCAGGCAGCCAATCAAATTTTAAAATATTTATTTTCTAAAATGTATATATATATACATAGAAGCATTTTGTTTTCCGAAAAACCCGCCAAAATTTTGACGAATTTCATTAAAACAAATGATTCAATAAGCATAGTTTAATTTAATTGTTTTTTATAAAAAAATTTTTTTCCACATCATAAAAAATGAAATTAATTATTTTCATTATACTATTTATTTGAAACAGATAAAAATCTAAATTTTGCTAAAACAATATTTGTTTTAAATGAATTTACCACAAAAATATAATAATCATTCAATTCAAATGATACGAACTGATCAATCATTGATTTTTCCAATCAATAATAATAATTACAGTAATAATAATAATAAACTTTTAACAAGCTATCAAAGTATGGAACCTGTTGAAATCTATCTACCAAGTATCATTGTTTTAACCATATTTCTGATACTCATATCAATGATTGGGATTATTGGGAATAGTTTTGTTGTTTGGGCATTTCGTAAACAAATTCAACAAGGTATCATATCGGGTTTATTTATTTTATTACTAGCCTGTAATGACTTATTCATCTGTATCATTGTTATACCATGTACACTGTACTTAGATATATGGACAGCAGATACAACTGATTGGATATGTCGTGTACATTTAACCCTGAAAGCATTTGTTGTACCCATCTCCGCATGTATCCTAATGTTAATAGCTGTGGAAAGATTTCTACTGATTTGTTTTATACCTGGAATACAAATGAAACGTATACATATAATCTTATCCCTAATCATAATACTGATCATTGGTCTATTATGTTCCATCCCAATGGGTTTACATGTTCATGCAATTGATATATTTAAAGAACGTGATGAATTACTGGATTTGAATACATTAAAAAATGGCGCCATTGATTTATCACATTTACAAACAAATCAACAATGGTTCAATCAATTACGTGTCACTAAACGTTGTGATAAAGATGACACATTGATCAATGATCAATTCTATTGGTATTATCAATTATGTGTGTTGTTGCTGTTTTTAGGATTATTTCTTGGTACAGCTAGTGTTTATGGTTTAATATTTTTATTTGTATGGCGACATGAATCATTTATGTATGAAAAATATGGTAATTCTAAAATGAAAGGTAATTGGATACGTATACATGCTACACCGAATTCATCAGCTGATCGAATACAACTTAGCACTAAATGGAATCCAATTAAGAAACATTTATCATTTTGTAATAAGTATAAAGAATCTAAACAAGACAATGATAAACCAAGTCCGAATAATAGTTTGAACATTGAACCGGACGAGGACGAGGAGCAGAAGGAGGCTGGAGAATGTGACAAGGAGGAACAACAACAACAACACCGACCAACTCGTCAAGTTCAACAACAAAAACGATATTCGGCAGAATCGTTAAAATTATCACCACTACAACATCACCAACCAACACAACAAACATTGGCGATTGGGAATGCAACTCTAACCGATATGACCACATCGACAAGTTGTATCATATCGAATTTAGACAGATTAAGTTGTGTATGTTTATGTGAACGAAATGACGAGACGCATGAATTGAATCAAACTGATCAATATCCAATGAGTAAAGATTGTCTGTTGCATGCCACTCATTCAGAACGCATTGATACTACTGATCAAGGCAATAACAACAAAAATAATACTAATAATAATAAGTGTTGTCCTAAACAAAAAATCAATAATTCATCTCAGTCTAGAACAGAATTATCCGCTGCCAACTTAGAATGTCGACGTAAACCACATGTACGTACAGCGCAAACATTGGCGTTGGTTGCAGCCAATTTCATTATTAGTTATACACCATATCTTGTGTATACTACAATCCCAGTACAAAAGAGACAAGTTGTCTTATTTAAAGAGAAACCACATTGGACACTACAAATAAGACGTATTCTGTTTTATATGTATTTTGTTAATTCTGCATTGAATCCAATTATTTACTCGTGTATGAATAGACATTTTCGTAATTGTATGATTAAATTTTATGCAGATTTAAAAAGGAAATTTAAAAATTGTAATATGTCACGATCAAAACCACTGGAGACAAATCAAGATTTAGTTAGTTTCGTGTTATCGTCAAAACCGATTGGTTCAAATCAATGAGAAAAAAGGTAATCCATGTTTATGTATAGTCGAATGAAACTTACTGGCACCTGTTACCCCCATGGGTTGGAACACAGGCCACTCCGACCGGAATTCTCTGACCTATTCAATCCCAAACCTTCATGTTTCAAGTTCTAACTGAATTAATTACTTACTGGCTTACTAACTATCTAACTAACTAACTAACTAACTAACTAACTAACTAACTAACTAACTAACTAACTAACTAACTAACTAACTAACTAACTAACTAACTAACTTACTAACTAACTAACTAACTAACTAACTAACTAACTAACTAACTAACTAACTAACTAACTAACTAACTAACTAACTAACTAACTTACTTACTTACTTACTTACTTACTTACTTACTTACTTACTCACTTACTTACTTACTTACTTACTTACTTACTCACTTACTTACTTACTTACTTACTTACTTACTTACTTACTTACTTACTTACTTACTTACTTACTTACTTACTTACTTACTTACTTACTTACTTACTTACTTGCCTACTTACTTAATTACTTACCTAATGAATCCAGTTACCGCTAATCGAGAAGATATCGCCGAAAACTATTTTCTCCATGTTACTCTATCTCAAACCTTCTATTATTATTATTTGTATTGAGCTCCTCCCCGATTTACTGTTATATTCTTTAAATGTCCACTTTCGAATTCTCGACATCATGTATTCCAATTGAAATTGATCACGAAGAGAGTCAAGTGAATATAAAGTTGAATGTAACTTTCATTATTACTATGATTATTATTATTATTATTATGATTATTAATATTATTTTATTAAATGAAATAATTTCGTTCAATTCATTTTTATATGTTCACATTATTATTAAACTGTTTGATCAATGTAAGTAAAAAATATTTTCAATGTCATTCATTTAAAAAAAAAACAATTTTTTTGAGAGAATGAATCGGAGAAAATGTTTGTTTTGTTTATAACGATGAATTGTGAGGGGACTAATATGAATTTACATTCAACTCGTGGTTAGATCATCGTTGGATAACGTTTAGACACTCTGGAGTACTGGATAGGTGTATTATTGTGGTATTGAACTCCACCTTAGTGCATATCCACGACTCACGTTGTAGTGAACGAGAACACAAGGTTGGGCAACCGAATTGTTTTTAACGAAAATTACACAGTTACTCAGTAAAATCGGAAAACCATATCGTAAATCGTTAATTTGCAAAATATCAGTTCATCATATCGAACTGGACTGTTCCTGTTGCAAAACATCAATCCATTGTCACTATTCATGCGTTTCATACAAATTCCATTGTGTTCCCCCCACTCTTCCTTTCTTGATCTTCCCCCATCTTCCGCTGCCAGACATTACGTTTAAACTCACGTCATATACTACTTATAAGTAGCTCACACCACAGTGGGAATCGAATCTTCGGTCTAGCGCATGAACACTTAACCTCTGAACCCCTGGGCTGGTATCCAATGGTGTTATTGTATAACTCTGTTCGACCTCACTCACTGGCTTTGATAGTGACTGCCTACACCTAACACAATTGAAACTCCACTAATCATGACTTCTCATTAGAACTCTGAGAATTTGCCTCATGAAGCTCTACTGACCACTGACTTATTTTTATGATAAGTTATGAAGTTTATTTTGTCTTAGTGTGTAGTATGTCGACCGTCCAGTGGAGAGCAGAACATAAACTTAACACTTTCATCATCACCTGCAAACACTTAACTTCATACTTAGCTGTAAATTTGTATTGATTAATCTATTTATAAATATGTAATTCGATTAAAAGATCAAAGAGATTATTTATTATCAATAAACTAATCAAAGATTTTAAAACATTAAACAGGAAATTACTTAATATAAAGGAATGAGAATAACTTAAAAAGGTCAGATATATCGATACATAAGCGAGAGATAATTGTTTAATTGATATGAAAGTGATTCCTGTCAGTTCAATTAGTAAAATGAAAATCGATAGAGGATGTTAGTAGTAATTGATTACTGGATAAAAGTGGAAATAACAACAAGTATTCATCAGTCGATCATTGTCAGACCACCATTAGAAACCTGGAAACACTAAAAGACGGTCGTTTCGTCCTGGTATGGGACTCATCAGCAGTACGCATCTCCATCCCAGTACGAAACGGCCGTCCAGTGCTTTCAGGTTTCTAATGGTGGTCTAACAATGTTTGATTGATGATTTCAAATGTGTAAAAACACTAATCTCCATAACTCTAACTGAAAATATCGTAACAGTGCTCACTAGTGACTAGCTTCGTGAGGAAATTCTCAGAGTTCTAGTGAGAAGACGTAACGAATGGAGTTCAACCTTGTCAGGTGTAGGCAGTAACTACCAAAGACAAATGAGTGAGGTCGATCAAAATCCGTAGATCAATCAGAGTTAGACATTAACACCATCGGATGCCGGCCCAGTGATCCGATGGTTAGGCGTTCTCACACAGTACCGAAGGTCCTGGGTTCGAAGCTCCCGAGCTCGAATCCTGTGAGGTGCAGGAGTCGTGGATGCGCACTGCCAATGATGAGTCCTATACCAGGACGAAACGGCCGTGTTTCAATGCTTCCAGGTTTCTAATGGTGGTCGAATATTGATTGATTGATGATTTCAAATGTGTACAAACACAAATCTCCAAAACTGTAACTGAAAATAACAAGTAAACAATGGAAAAGCGTAGGCTACCCAACAGCATTGTCAAACTCGACTCTGTCCTAAGCCTTCCTTTGTTCTTCTCATGACTGTCTCTATCCACTCCTAGGCGTAATATATTCTTTGTTCTTTGACTTTCCCTCTGAATTTGAGGATTGCAAGTGAGGGCTTATCTTGTGGCGCAGTTGGCTGCTTTCCTTAATGTGATTCCTATCGACTTCCAGAGCTTCTTCCTAATTTCTTTCTCCTCTGGAATCTGGTTGGTTCTCACCCTCAGTGGTTTGTTGCTGGTAGTGTCTGTCCAACGGATCCACACTATCTTGCGTCGATGCAATGATGTTGGAGAAGGGAATAAGGACTAGGGAAGAATGAGATGTTGGACATAATATTTCAATTCTGCACACAAAGTCCTGGTTAACATTGATCAACTGTCATAGTACCTCAACATGTTGCCGAAGTTTTTAATGCGTGGGACAATTTTAGTAAATGACTAAATTAAAAAGAAAATCTTCTTAATTGGATTCTTAATTAAATTACATAATAATTTAATAGTAATTAGATTACCGAAATTAAATTTTTAAAATTGACAATTTTACTCAATGATTTATTCTCCATTTTCTACAGGATAGGGTCGTCAATCTCGTGGCTAAACCATCCTCTTTTATTTGTGCTTGAAACCAGTAGTAATCCTAGAGAGGCTTCATGCAGAGTTCACACTAAGTAATTAGATAACGTAACATTATTTTGATGATGATGATGATGATGTTGCCTAATTGAAGGAATTAAAGCTTTCAACATTGATTAGAATAATTTAAGAATATACATTTATACTACTCATATAATGCTTCCGTGGTTTCTAGTGCTTTTGTCTAACATTGGTCATTGATTGATGATTTGAAATGTGTAACTCGACAATTTCTATAATCCTATAATTAAAATTACCATTAAGTGCACTGGTAACCAGCTTCTTGAGGAAGTTTCTTCGAGTTCTAGTGAGATGTCATGACCAATGGAGTTTAATCCTGTTCGGATATGAAGCAATACCTACTGAAGACAGTGAATGAGGTTGCACATGACTATGGATTGATGGAAGTTAGATATTGACACTGTTGGATGCCGTCTGAATGGTCCAGGAGTTGTGTGATTGTGCATCAGGTTTTGAGTTCGATTCTTATCAGTGACGGTGATCGTTGATGTGCACTGCTGTAGAGACCCATACTAGGATGAAATGCTTCCATGGTTTCTAATGTTGTGGTCTAACATTGATCATTGATTCATGAAGTCAAATGTGTAACTCGACAATCTTCACAACACTTGTAATGAAAATCACTGACTGATTTGTAAATATGATCAAAACTATACTTCACAATGAAAGAAATTTATGGAGATTTATAAGCGAAAAAAACATACTGTGTAAAATAAATCTATGCTTAAATTTATCAATGATAAATACTCTTATAACTGATCGAAAAATATTATAGATTTGGATAAGAACAGTTTTTTCCGGTGATTATTGTGCTCACTAGTGACTAGCTTTGTGAGGAAATTCGCCAAGTTCTAGTGAGAAGACATGAACAGTGTAGTAGAACTCTGTCGAGTGTTACAAGTAACTACCAAAGACAATGGTTGAGATTGCGCAAAATCCCTAGACTGATTAGAGTTAGACATGAACATTGTTAGATGTCAGCTCAGTGGTCCAGAGTTTAGGCGTTCGCGCACAAGATCGAAGGTTTTCGGTTCGAATCCTGCGAGATGCAGGAGTTGTGGATGCATAGTGCTCATCAGTCCCATATCAGAAAGAAACGGCCCTCTTTCAGTGCTTTCAGGTATCTAATGGTGACCTAACACTGATCGTTGATTTATGATTTCAAAATGAATAAGAAAAATTAATTTTCTGTTTAAATTAGAATTTTCGTTTGGTACGTTTATTTCTAACACCCTATAAAATGTCAATCGATAACAAATCTTGATAAAACATCCTATCAACTTGATACTATCTATCATCTAAATTGAAATTAGGTGTTTATATTTAAGTTAATATTCACTACAGCTAACTTTGAACATATATTGAACAATATTTCAAACTAGTTTATAGAATAAAAAATAAAACTGAACTGCCTATTCTTCTAACCCAATTGTGTAACAAAACAAACTCTCACCTGGAATCCTTAGTGACAAAGGTAAAGAGGAAGACTAAAGAACACATTACGCCAAGAAATGGATATAGAGACATGAGGAGAATGAATATCAAGTGTTTAATACTAGAAATGTAGGTCCAGGACAAAGTAGGTTTGAGACTGTTAGTTAGCGGCCTACGCTGCAACTAACAGGATTAGAACCCAGGGCCTCTAGACCACTGGGACGGCATCCATCGGTGCTAATATCCAACTCTGATCGATCAATCAAACAACCTCACCCATTGTCTATATCCCGACACAGTCGAACTCCGATGACTATGGGTTCTCACTAGAAATCCGACAATTTCTTCACGAAGCAAGTTGACAGTAAGCAGATAT